CACCGAACATATGATGTCTTCAGAATAGAGGCAATTAAAGGAATCATTGAGCAGAGAGAACCTAAACCATACTGCGTAGGTCTGTCCGTTTCGGTTCATCCCCCCCTTTTGGCCCCCAAAACCCAACCCAGCCTCTTTTTTCCAAAACCTGAAGCCCTCCACGTTCTGGAACAAGACGTCAGGTGGTGCCTTATTCCGTCCCAAGTAGCGTAGCCCAGCCCACGCAAGAGCCACGGTGTGTGGCCCAGGGGGAGGATCTGGTGTGGACTCGTGGATTGGGCAGGTGGCGCATCTCCCGGGCTCTTTTCTCCCCCCCTACCCTACACCGGCGCATCGTACTGTGGTAGGTAGATCGTCGAAGAACCAACTCCTTGCCTCGACAAGCAAAGAGTTCAAGACGAAACACTGGGAAACGGAGTTTATCTATACGAAAGAAGGAGAAACACACAAACAGAAATAGTTGAGCACAGTTCAGTGAACGCAAACAGAAGCGCGTCGGAACAAAGACTACGGGATACCTCTCATATCGAACTTGTCAACTTTCACACCGCATCGAAAAAGGGCGGATACATTGTCCCGAGATATCTTACGGATACCTCTTGTCTAGACCACCACCCCAACCCCAACAGCCTGCCCCGGCACGGATCACGAATACACCGGCGCCTGCGCTGTCAGGTCCCTAGTCCGCTACTAGTGCGCCTTACCTTATTCACTCGTACGGGTCGACTGGTAGGTAGCCAAGGAGTTGTGAGATGCAAGCTAGGCGTCCCGACCTCGCATTTATCTCGTTTGGAACCACCCACCTCCCCCCATCTGCAGAGCTCCGGTCGGTCCTCAGCCAGGCGATCGCCTCATCCACCCGATCTCTGTCTCTCTACGTAGAGTCTTGTCCACTTGTGAAGTTGTTGGTGGGAGGGAAAGAAGGCGTTGCGCGTCCACCCACCACACTACCCCTGCCTGGGAACAACAGTGGTACGCTAGACCTACGGACCGCCGTACCCTGGCACGTTTTTTCTCGACGGGCTAAGGTATCGCCAACTGCAACCGCTGTCCAGTTGCATGCGAGTTGTCGACTAGTGAGTTGGTAATAACTCGCTGTTGTGTACGGAGTACGGAGGGAGTATGGAGTAGCGCCGAAGCCCTTCCCATTGCGCCGGCGCCAGTCGTTTGGTTCGATTTGAGAGTTTCTCGTCTTACACGCTTTTGCGCCCTCTGTTACATCCTATCTTTGCGGCTCAGCTGGGCCTTCACAGTGTCGTACCTACTCTAGGCGCCAGACAAGTGTTTACGACGAGGCCACTCAGGGCACAGTCTTGAGGAAGTGAGTCGGAAAATGGCTGGGCTAGGCTGGGGGCGGGATGGGGAAAGAGACTAAGAATGAGCAGATGCCGATGCACGCAGCAACGCATCCCATCGATTCCATCCAAAAGAGCACAAAATACCAAGACCCTAAGCCCGCAGAGCCCGGATGCTGGCTCGTCTTGGCAGGCCAAGGGCTTGGATTTTCTGTGTGTGTGTGTGTCTCTCTCGACCTCTCTGAGCCCAAAAGGTGGATCAAGGAACTTCGACGTGCTGCGTCGTCCGGCTCATCCGCAAGCTATTGAACTTTTTTGGCCGGGGGAGAGAGAGGGAAAGATATGTATCTGGAAGTACCTTTTGACCGCATTCATCTTCTCCTCTCCTTTTTTAAATTCTCTCTCTCTCTCTCTCTATCCCGCCATTTCACTTTGATGATTGAACAGTATCCGTATACATTATCCCTTGCAGGCTTGTCAATAGAGTCGGCAAAGTGAAAGAATTGTCTCGACTGCAGCTGAAGAAACAGAGACAAACGAAAAGAAAGTCAGAAGAAACAAGAAAAGGGAATCAATACCAACCTGAAGAGTTTCGAAAAACCGGGAGGTCGAAAAGGCTAGAGAGACAACCGAAGAGAACTAGCAACGTACCCCAAAGGCCCAAGATGGAAGGCCGGCTCATAGTGTTCTCCATAAAGTTCCCACCTCACAGATGACAGTAGTGACAGTCCACAATCAGGTAGTGCGGCGCTTGTCGGAGGAGAATAAGCACCGCCAACACCGAAAGAGCAGAGTCATCAACATCATCATCGTCGTCGTCAAGATTCACGGCCGCCCAGCCCAGCCCGAGCGACCGCCAGAGCCTGTGCGTACGCAAGGACGGCAGCAAGGTAGACAGCACAGCAGCCCCCCCGGCATAACGCCATTACGTCGTCGGGCTCTTGTTCCCGGGGGAGGGCCTTGGTGTATTGCTGGTCGTGGATTGGTTTGGGACGGGCCTAGCCCTGTTACCGCCGCGGCACTCTTTTACTACGGATACACGGTTCACTCAAATGTTCCGGGGCTTTATTCACAGAGTTACAAAGTACAATTCACCGCACCTTGATCTACCCGCTGAACCTGGTTCGAATGAGAGTCTTGAGCCTGTTGGAGACCTCTGGCTCTGGGGTCACCTGTGGCCGTGCCTTTTGCCTTTGCCTTGCTGTGTCTGTGCCTCGCCTTGCCTTACCTTTGAGCTGATCTTTCTGGTCTGGTTTCTGCCGGACCGGGACCGGGACCTGGACCTGGGACCACCTGCCAGACTGCTGCTACCTTGCTGCAGCCAACTGACCTGAGTGACGGTGACGGTGACTGGGTATGAGAGAAGAGCGAGGAAACAGCAAGTAGCAAGTAACTGGTCGCAGGTTGCAGGTCGCAGAAGTAGGCGGTGTTGCTAATTCTTGTTGCATAATACGCCTCCGTACGTACCTCACTCACTCCCCGTACTCCCGGAGGTACTCCCGTACTTCGTACACCTCTCAGAGTACTGTGTAGGTACGCCTCGCCTCGTGCTTGGGGGTCTTTTTTTTGACACGTTCCCGTCGTTTCCATGCTCTCCATGCTCTCTCTCCATCCATCCATACCTTGACACTCACTCCATACTCGCTCGGGTACGGATTCATACATCATCTCGGGGATTCTCCTACCTTTTCTCAAACCTTTCTTCCCTCTTTCTGTTTTCCTGGTTTCCCGATTTCTGGTTGTCCTACTCCGCGGATCGTCTCGCGTCATTTCGAGAATCTCTCTTCTTCGACTACACTTAAACCTCTCTCCAACGCCAACAGCTCTGAGACACGTACATACATACATACAAACATACATACGGAACCCGAAGATCCCCATGGCTGAATCTTAATCGCTGCCCGTCCCGAAACTTCGTTACTTGTCCGCCTGGGTCCCTTCATTCGTTGCATCATCCATATTAATTCCACCTTTTTGTGCCCGCCGCGCAAAGAAGTGTGTGCTTTATCAGTCAGTCGCATCTTAAGATTACCTTACAGACCGCGCAACCTCCCTCCCGACCGCCGAGTCACCCATAAACGTACAGATACAGCACAGCGTATAGGTCGTCCGGCCATTACATCGCATCGCATCGCATCCGCTACCACCACACGATAATCTTAAAGCCGGAGAGATCCACGAATCCCACGAACGAGACCCGCGGCCACCCTTGGGTCATCTCACTCAACCCCGATTTGTACGCCTGTACGGATACTCCGTCCCCTACCGAGCAATTCACCCTACGTAAGGAAAGAAAGGCAGAGGAATTGCGCTAGTCCCAGGGCCGAAGCTGTCGATTCCGAAACCCTCGAATCCCCGAATCCCTCCCGCACGATCGCATCTCTGCCCATTCCTCGCATCCTCGTCTCGACGGGCTAGAGGGGGCCTTGTAGGCTTGTCCTGCTCATCCAAGACCGTATTGGTCGCGCACGGCGCAAGTGGTTGTCTCTCAGTAATTTGGTTGCATGGTTGCTGGCTTGGCAAACGTCGAGCGAATTCGCAAAGATGGGCCGTAATCGAGGTTCGTGCTCCCACATTCCCTTCCCAGCTCATCGCATAGTCTTCCCAAGTTCCCATCTTCTTAGCGCAGGTTGCTGCAGTTGGCACACCCCCCCCCCCTTCTTCCCAAGTTTTCCCAGCCCAGCCCAGTCCTTGCAGGCTGGCACCGGGCCATCATGCGTAGGAGGCTTTTTTGGTTGCCCGCTGGCGCGTGTTGCTGGCGTGCATCCCAATCCTAATATGCCCAATATCCCTTTTACTGCGCAATGCTGTTGTTTGGCGGCATTTACATCAAATACCCTTGCCCGGCCTTGTTTTCTGTTCTCAGCTGGTCCTGGATGGATTTGCATCACCAGAATCCTGAACCCAGTCTCGCCTTTCACCATCCGTACGGATACTCGTCCTCGCCATTAATACTCCCGTCTACTCTACCTCTGTCTTCCCTGCCGCTACCCGTCCGCCCCAGTATCGCCCTGCTCGGCCATCCTCACCATCCGTCGTCCTCCTCGCTCGTCCGCCGGGGACCCCCCTCTTCCCCTTGCGCTCCTCCCTTCGCAATCCCCCTCACATCCGCTCACCCCCGGCCAGTTGGTGGTCCTGGCCAATTAGTCGGGCACCAGGCGATATTGTTACTTTTTTATGACCCAGTGGCTTTGGTTTTTTTTAATTGCCTGTATTGGTGTTACTGAGGTGTAGCTGTGTGGATTTGGAAGGAGAGAGAGAAGAGACGCGCGCGCAACCATGCTGACCAAATCCGCTTCCGTGGGCACCACAGTCCTCTCATTCATGTCCCAATTTTCTGCCACTTCGAAGGACGGCAGCAAGACAAACCAGCCAACTCCAAATTCGTCACCTCCCCCCGACGCGGCGACACCTTTTCCTCCATACAACCTTAAGTCACACCCGACTTCAAATCCACCGACAACACAACATCAACGTCAACAATCTCAATCCCAAAAGACAGAACCCTTCCCAGAACCGCCCGCCAGTTTCGGCCAGCGCCCCGCGACCCCTACTTCGCCTGCGCGTCCACCCTCCGAATATGCGTCATCGCCCGCCAACGGAACTGCCAACAGCTCGCCCGTAAATAGCCCTAGATCCGTCACTGGCCGCCAACGCAGCTCCTCCCGCCCACTTTCGATGGTAATGCCATACCAGCCGCCCCTCATGGATATCAACGAAGATACCATTCCCGAGCTTCAGCCCATCTTCACTTTCCTGAACAGCCATGCGAATAAGCTGTACCAGGAGGGCTACTTTCTCAAGTTGGACGACCAAAACACACGTAAGTTTTGTTCTTGTTTAATTTTATTTCTAGTGCTCTTTATTTTGCCTTTGTGTCTGCAGCTACCTTAGCTGCTGGCGGTGACGCGCATAACACTCGGACCCGATCTCTGACCAAATTTACAGAGGGCAAGCCCAATCCCGACCGCACCTGGACTGAGTGCTTCGCTCAGCTTGTCGGAACCGTATTGTCGCTATGGGACGCAGCAGAACTCGATGCTGCTGGCGAGGACGGCGAGATCCTCCCAAAATTCATCAACTTGACTGACGCTTCGATCAAAATGGTATGTCGAGCCCCGATTGCCGTGCCCCCAGCCAGATTTGGCAGCAATGGCAGGTACGACGGTGCGGGGGATGGATCGAGTGCTAATTTACCATGCCCTTGGCGTATAGATCGAATCCCTACCAACACGATCGAATGACGAACAGCCGCTGCAGAATATCCTCAGCGTCTCAACTGCCGGCAGGAACCGTTATCTGCTGCACTTCAACTCCCACCATTCATTAATACAATGGACTGCTGGCATCAGGCTCGCTATGTACGAGCACTCGACGCTGCAGGAGGCTTACACCGGTGCCTTGATCGCCGGCAAGGGCAAGTCTCTCAACAACATTAACCTCATCATGGATAGACAAAAGTTCAAGACCGAGGAATGGGTGCGTGTGCGCTTCGGCGCCGGAGTTCCTTGGAGACGGTGCTGGTGTGTCATTTCTCCCCCCGACGAGAAGGAGTACGCAAAGGCACAGAAGGAGATGCGCAAAAAGTCGCCTTACGATCGTTCCACGCCGATTCTCAAGGGAGACATCAAGTTCTACGATACCAAGAAGGACGGCAAGAAGCAAAAGAAGGCTCGCCCCATCGCCACCATTACTGATGCCTACTCTTCCTACGCCATCTACCCGCAGGCCAAGTCGCTGATTGATGCATCAACGCTCCTTAAGATTGAGGGAAACATCACCATCCACTCTGACCCGCCGTCGTCCACCGAGGGCTTCGTCTTCATCATGCCCGAAACTCACCCTGCCGTCAGCGGCTTCGAGATGCTGCTGCGCTTCCTCTTCCCTACCTGGGACACCTTCTGCCTCTATGGTCGCCCCGGCAGACTCGTGGCCAGTGTCCTCGACCCGAGGTCGCTGATGTTCGCCATGCCGAAGCACCGCAGATACGGTTACCTCGAGATTCTTGACGTCACTGGACTGATTTTGGAAGAAGGCAGCTCAAGCTGGTCGGAACGTGATTGGAGAAAGAAGCTCAAGGAGCTTACGGGTAAGCGAATGAATGCGGTGGATGAGTCCCAAGCCATGCGTCAAAGAAGTGGAAGCAAGAAGAGCAACCGTCTTAGCTTCGGCAATGGCACCTCCAGCCCAGTGCCAGCCAAGCCTAGAGTCGGCTTTGCCTCTGATGCCATTTCAAACCGGTCTTCTCGATCCATGTCACTGGGCACCCCCAACCGCTCAGAGAGTACGCCTGTCACGACTTCTCGTGCACCTCCCTCATTGGCTGGTATCATGAACAAGGCCAATCATGCACGCAATTCTTCAGATCCTCACTTGCTTGGTCACACACCCCAGCGCCCGGAGGACCGTGGCTACGACAGCTCATACAGCAACTCCTACAACAACTCACCTGCACGTTCGCCAGCCAGAGGCCCCTCACCAGCACGTGACCCGCCTCCTGCGAGAGGTATCCTTCGCTCAGGAACCCAGAGTTCTGAGGAAGACACAGCTCGGAGCACACCGGTGCGAGAGATCGAGGGAACCGTGCGCCAGATGGAGTCGCCAGAGCCTGTTGCCGCTCCTCCTGCATTCAACTACGGTCCTAACTCCAAGCCTGCGGGCAAGCCTTACCACTCTCCAGATCTTCGCAGGGCTACTACTCGATTGTCAAACACTACCCTTTCCCAGTTGACAAAGGCAGGAGGATTCGTGATTCCCCCCGACAGCCCATCTGATGCGTCGTCTGAGCGGAGGAGTGGGGAGGATGCTGCGCCATCTGGTCCTTTGGTACATCCTCAAGCTTATCCCGACCACCACGTAGGAGGCACTGCTAACGATACTATGTCTCGTGAAGCTCTGACCCCTAACCAAACCCCCCCTCCCTCCGGTGGTCTCCCGCCCCCTATTCCGCCCATGAACCAGAAGCGTTCCCGATCGCCCCTTGCCCAGCAGTCGTTCGGCCCCCCTAGTCCTCATCCTCAGGGCCCCTTGCCTCCTAACCCTCAAAGTCGAGGCCCTCAAGATGCGAGACCCCCTCCTCCTCCTGAACACTTGGAAGGCCTTGAGCAGATGAGAAGCCCAGTCGATGGACACCCCCCTCAGATCCGTCCTCAGCCGTCATTCAGCAACTTTTCGCGACCCGATGGAACAAGAACTCCCCCCTTGGGTGGACCAGGCCGAGTGCCTACTCCGGAAATGCGAAACCGCGGCATAAACCCTCAGGCGATGGGACCACCGCCACCTCCGCACGGTAGAGATCCTCGGGCTCAGGGCCGCGGTGTCCCGCTTCCCGGAATCGACACGAACCCTGCCTTCCAGCGCAAACCGTTGCCGGCTCGATCGGACAGCCTGAGAAGCCCTCAGCAACAGACCCCCATCTCGGCCTCCAGCGGTGGCAGTTGGGGCAACAACATTATCGATCAAGCGGGATTCCAGCAAATCCAACCTCGCGATCCCAGACAGCGGACACCGGTTCCCGAGCAGCAGATCAACAGGGCTCAGACGCAGAGGAGTGACGCCAGCTATTACGACGACGCATCGTCAACTGCGAGCCCAGACTACGCTAGCCGCAAGTCGAGTGAGACACAGCGTTCTCAAAAGTCTTTTGAGCGGCCCAGAGCAGGTGTTTTGAAGACTGTGGGTGGCGCCGATTCTGACAATGGGGAGTTCGCCATTCCTGATGTGAACTTTGGGCCTACCGTCAACTACGGAGCCAATCAACCCGCAAGAAACAAGACACCTACGCCCATGACCTATCAAGCCATGCCCGGCCCTCAACGACCTTTCTCCCCAGCGGCGCTGAAGTCTCCTACCGGCAATGACACCAGCCATAACCGTCAAGAGTCTGAGGATACGGTCAGGAAGGTTGCTTGGCAACCTGGCGCCGCCGCTGTTCCTAGCGGCCCAGGCATGAGCGCTGAGCAGTTTGTCCAGCAGCGTGCTGCCCAGCCGGCTGCTCCCATGTACGCCCATAACAGGACGCCCTCTGGCAACATCCTCACTATGCGATCGATGACCCCAACTCCCGCCATGACCCGAAGCGGCTCTCAAGAGATGCTCGCTCGTCACTCTCGCAGCAGCTCGGCAGATCTTCTGCAGCGTCCCGGCTCCCGCGGCGCCAACGCCGTTCTCGACATGACTAGCAGTGGTGAGGTGTCATCTCACCTGTCGGCTCGCGAACAGGAGCACGTCGCCCGCATGACGGGCTCGCCGCTCATCACGATGGCTGGCAACCGTAATGCGAACCAGCAGCAGCAGGGAGCTGGCTTAGTCGGCGCCATTCACGCCCGTGAGCAGGAGAGACAGCGGGCCAAGCAGGGCATGAACACGCAGGCGGTGCAGCAAGCCATCAACCAGCGCCAACAGCAACAAGCCATGGTCTACCAGCAGCAGCTTCAACGTCAGCAGCAACAGCAGGTCTACCAACAACAACAAATGTATGCCCAGCAACAGCAGCCCATGTCTCCTCAAGGCATGGTTCCCCAAGGCATGTACACCCAGAGCAACATGTCTGTTGGCCAAATGAGCCAGATGGGACAGATGGGTCAGATGGGCCAGATGGGCCAAATGGGCCAAATGGGCCAAATGGGCCAGCCGAGGGGACAGCCCAACGGATACGCAACCGGGCCTGCGCAGAACTTTGGCTATGCTCAGGGCAGCAGCTACGGCCCCGCGAGTAACTACGGCGGCGGCGCGGCCAGCACTTACGGAGGTGCAGTCAGCAACTTTGGCGGCCAAGGAGGCGGATACAGCCAGGGAGGCTCTTATGCCAACCCGATGGCCATGCGCCAGGGTCGCCAATCACCCGGACCTCAGATGATGGATCCCCGATTCATGCAGCAACAACAGCAGCAGCAGGGCCAGTACTCCCCGGGCCCTCGTCAGGGTGGACGTGGACAAGCCTACCCGGCGACATACCAGGGACAGGCGTTTTAGAAGGGCGATTGAAGAAGGGACAATGAGATGAAGGAGACAGACGGAGAGAGAAGCAGAAGTTTGGTTTTTATTGACTGAGTAGATACCAGGAGACGGGGCAATGTGCCCTTGTCTTGGAACGAGTGTAACATCATCAGGAACGGCCACATGGAAGGCGTTTGGAGAGACGTAACTGCAACCATAGGAAAGTTGGTTGTAGCTTTTGGTCCTAGACAGGACAAGCATCTGGGATTTCTTTTGTTGAGTAGAGGCTGGGTAATAGCATGGCTGACGGTTGGCATTGATGACTAGCAGAGACGGCCGAACATAAATGATGAGAAAGAATTAACATAACAAGACGAGAGTTTCTAAGATTTTCCTGTGGTTGCCTAGTGCCTGAGTTCGAGGTGGCAGCTTGTCGAGATTGCTTGCCGTAAAGTGGTGAACTACTTTATGGGTATGCGTTGTGATGAACATAGGGAAGTAGGCCCTGAAGCCTGCGCACGGGCAAAATCAGGTCCGGATCGGCGAAGCAAATTCCTCCCTTGTTAGGCAGACATGCGTAGTCGGTGAAGATGTTTCCCACTCGAGAGTTCACTCTTCGTGAGTACCTGCCTTATGAAGAAGGTGGCCATTTAGAAATTAGGCATTTATGAAGGTGGCTGGTCTGGGACAGAGCTGGGGCCATCGGCAACTCAATTCGACTGCCAAAGCTTGTGTCTCTGTAACTGTACCTACCGTGCTACCTTTCCGTAGTTTATCGCCACTTCAACTACGGAGTACCTAACTAAGGTACTGTCTAATCACATGGCCCCGGGACGCGTTCTGGCTTCTCCTGACTGTCACGTCTTTTGGCGCGCCTTGGTGGCAGCTGCCGTGTAAGTCAGAGCCCGATACTTTAGGTACCTGTGTACTTTTTAGTGGAGACTTCAAAATCCAAGTACCTAAGGTTTCGAAGCACCGACTGGCTGACAGCGGCTGCGGGTGCTCTTGCTGCCTCCCGCCTCGTGGCCACTGATTACACAGGACCTGACGGGACGGGACCAAGACCCCTCAACGCCCCCCGGGCGGCGGGAGGACCACCCCCAGCCAGTGGCTCGTCGCATCTTTCCAAAATCAGAGACATTTTCTTTTGTGTTCTCGAGGGGGGTCGAGTCCACGCTTCACGCTCACGCGCATGCCCGCCCACGCCTCGCGGGTCTAGGAAGTTCTGCATCATCTGACTTGCAACGCGCTGTTTGGAAAGCACCACGCGCTGCCTAAATTTGACCCTTTCAATTGTTATTGTCCTTCTTTCCACATGTTCCCCATTTGCCATTCCCATACTTGATGGCTTAACTAGTCACTCTGATCATTAATACTCCTCCCCCCCCCCCGTGTGTACCTGTTTGGGCTGGTCATGACGTCCTCGCACCCTTGATTTATAAAGAGATACGACGTTGCCGGGTGACCGGGGATCGACTTTGCATACAACCCCTCCACCTCGCCCATCGCATTATCGATTACAGCGCAATAAGGCAAAAGGCAAGGTACCCCGACGTCTTTTTGGGGGTTGCCTCCTCCGAATTTCTAAACTTTCTGGCGAACGACGCGCATACCCACGACGAACATATACCCAACCACCACAACCACTACCACCACCGTCACCCCCCTACATCGAACGTCGAGAAACGAGGCGCCCTCGCGAACCACCGAGTCCCACGCTTTCCCCCTTGAAGCCTACGGCGCAAATAGTACAGACTTGCTTGACATCCTTCAACATCGACATCATTCTATAATCCCAACGTCGATTACCATCCCATTCGCCCACATTCAGTAAATGCATCGCCAGCTCCTCCCTTTTGGCTGCGAATTCATCTTTCCTGGCCGCGCATCTCGACCGACGCCCCTCCAGCGCCGGCCGTCCGTCAACCCCAGCCTGCGGTCGACGACGGCAGCCTAGACGAGCTTGACCAGCTTCTATCCTATCCTGTGGTCCCAATGGAGGGTGATGGGTCGCAGCCCACCCAAGGTATGCCATGCCCTTTCACTTCATCTCATCTTGGACCCGAAGCAAAGTCGTCGCCGTAGACCCAATAGACCAGGACGCTGACCCTTTGCCCCCTCTTCGCCACCCAGCTACCCAGAATGTTCTCGATCCGCGCCGCATAGGCAAGCAGAACTCGGGCTTCTCCGACGAGGACATATCCGACATTGTCTGCCTTCTCTACCCTCACACGAAGTCCGCTAGAGGCGAAGTAGAACGCATAGCAAGGGAACGCTCGCCTCATGTCGTCGGCAGGGCGGAAGCGGATGCCGTCGAGCCCGACTACGAAAGGGAAGACACGGCCGACCAATTCCAGCTGACGCCTCCCAGCGTCGAACATGCAATCATATTGAGGTTGTCGGCCGAGACCAAGGATCCCCTTCGCGGTTTTCTGTTTGGCAGGAATGGGGCTCGGTGCGATATTTGCTTTCTTAAGGACCCTATGAAACGCCTGAGCAACGTTCACTTTCGCATCTATGTTAATGAGTATGGTGTGGTCATGCTCGAGGATAAATCAACCAACGGGACCTTTGTCGACCAGGTGCTGCTGCGCTCGAAGCCCAAGAGCCCCAACGAGAAGTGCGACATGAAGAGGGTGCTCAGTCACGGTTCTAAGATCAAGGTGTTGATGCACAACGAGCAGCACGACCTCGAGTTCATGGTCAGGATGCCGAAGCGAGTGGGTGACTATGAAAGGGCGTACAACATTAAACTCCAGCGATACTTTGCTAGGATGGAAGGTTTGCGCGCGTCGGACGTCAACGAGACATTGGTGCCGGGTCCTGGTGGGCATGTCGACTTGTTTTCTGCTCCTAGGAGACCGCAGACAGCCACTACACGGCGGATAGCGCTGCCGTCCGGAACCACGCAAGATAACGTCGATCGATTTCCGAGAGACTGGGACGGGTCCGGTAGGTACAACCGGGTCAGCCAGATCGGCAAGGGAGCCTTTGCGGTCGTGTACAAGGTCACGTCCAAGTTCGACGGTGTCCCATACGCCGCCAAAGAACTAGAGAAGAGGCGGTTCATCAAAAACGGTGTCCTGGACCAAAAGGTGGAAAATGAGATGAGAATCATGCAAAAGGTTCAGCACGTAAGTTCTACAACACGCCCCCTTTTCTTATGTTGAACCCCTCTAACTCCAAATAGCCGAACATTGTACGATACATTGAGCATCTCGATTGGGACAATCGGCTCTTCATCATCATCATGGAGTACGTCGGAGGCGGTGACTTGGGAAAGCTCATCAGCGGCCGAGGCTGTCTGAATGAGATTAATGTCAAGCAAATGGCAGCCCAGCTGCTGAGTGCTTTGGCGCATCTACACGAAAATCACATTACGCATCGAGACGTCAAGCCAGACAATATTCTCATTTCATCGCTTGACCCTTTCGAGGTGAAGCTAACCGACTTTGGCCTCTCCAAGATGGTCGATAACGAACAAACCTTCCTCCGGACATTCTGTGGAACGCTACTGTATTGTGCGCCTGAGGTATACTCGGAGTATGCCGAGTACGACGACGACGGCCGCCGACACCCTCGTAATAGAGCTAAGCGCGCGGCGGTTGGACAGCGGTACGACCACGCCGTTGATGTCTGGTCGCTCGGTGGCGTGCTCTTCTATGCGTTGACAGGTCGCCCCCCGTACCCAGTTAACAACGGTGTCAGTTACTCTGAGTTGCTGCATACCATCATGACGGTGCCCCTTAACACGGTTCCTTTGGTGCGACAGAATGTTTCCAGGCAAGGCATCGAGTTCCTGTGCTACATGCTGGAGAAACGGCCAGAATGCCGGGCGACTGTCCGCGACCTTCAGTCACATCCCTGGTTAGGACCATACAGGCTGAGATCTGTGACGAACTACGACCAGTCTTTTGACGAAATTACCGATGAGGATGAAGAGCTGCAGGTCACTGCGTCCCAACTCAGTCTGCAAGAAGGGCAGTCAGGGTATCTGCCTGATACAGAACTACCACTAGAGGACGAGGTGGACGATGATATTGTCAACGACTTTCTCGAGGAAGACTCGGAAAAGGAGAACGGCACATTCGGCCCTCGTGGACAGGGTACTGGTCCGAGACTGTTTGGAGAGGTGAATATGTCTGCGGTGGGAAGCAAGGGAGCGATACCGGCAGATCGACTAAATCTGCCAGTGGCCGACTCGGGCGTTCTCGGCAACGAGAGTGTAGAGACGGAAATACTGGACAGCTGCGATTCTGGTGACGTTTCGACTATCATCGGCAAAAAGTCGCCCAGCAGCGGCGGAGTCCGATTGTCCGTATCGTCAGCTAATGGCCAGTCCGCGGATCAACTTCGAAGTCTGGTTGAAAATGTTGCGTCTCAAAGTCTAGGGGCGACCGATTTCGGCAGCGATATCCAGATGAAGTCGGCGGACGTTAGTCAAGTTAACGGCTCATTCTTCACCACTAGTAAAAGGAAGCCGCCATCGTTCGATACAAGCGACGAGTTCGAACCGCGACCGCGTGAAAAGCCAATCTTCAAGCGCCTGAAGTCGGAGGGCAACCTTGACGCGTTGGCAGAGAAGCAGATGGAGGAGTACAGCCTGCTCGCGTCAGTACCGCAGATTAAAAGGTTGGAGTCTGGACGCCAGATAGACGGGCCATTCAACAAGATGAACTTTTGGAAGAACAATGTCGAAACGTGGCATCTCCGCTACCCCGAGATGACCCAACTACAATACGAGACGTTCAAAAAGGCAGCTCAAAGCCGGGGAGAGGAGTTTGGTCCGGGAAAGACTCCATTATGGGAGTTGGCTTTCAAGTACTTTCCGCCAAACAGTAGTATTCCCACAATGCATGCCGAAGAACAGTCTACAATTGACGACACGAATCGAGCTTTGCTGAAGCGGGACGACAGGAAAGTGCTGGAGGGTATGGAATGGGATATTCCTGCGACAGCACCTCCAGAAGAAGAAGAGGAGGAGGAAGATTCGCTACCAGACACCCTTCCTCCAGACACACAGAAGATAATAGTGCCTGTTTCTGACGACGGACCGAAACGTGCCGTCGCTGTCTTGGAGTCAGCCCCTGGGTCAGTGGTCTCTGACATTTCGGTCCCCATGACCAATTCATTGCTGTCATGGGGTCGTGGACCGACCAACACGGTGATTTACGAGCAGAAGACGGAGATTCGAGTGCCTAAGTACGCTCTCAAAATTCTGTTATGGAAAGACGGTCACGATCCCTCCAAAGACGTCACCAAGCATCCTTGGGACAAGAGTCCCGACGGCAAAGGATTCGCCTTTTATCTGTCCACAAAGGCGACAAACGGCGTCCTGCTCAACGGAGTTCTGCTCATGTCCCACGACTGCAAGAACCCAGCTGGCCCATCCAAGAACTGGGTCCAGCTGTATGATGGCGATGAGATTGTAGTCTGGGGCACCGCCGCCGACACGACGAGCCAGACCAAGGTTACTTTCCGCTGCTTCTACGGCGACTCGGCACGTCGGCGACCCGATGACGCGCCGCCCAAGCTTGTGCCCCCGTCGACTGCGCGTAGAGTGGATGAGGTCTGCGGGCGGTACGAGAAGAAGCTCAAGACGTCGGCGGAGAAGAATGCCAAGCTTGCCGAGGTTGACAGGGAGTTTGAAGAGCGCAAGCAGAATATTGAGAGGGAGCGCGAGCGCAGCCGATTGTTTGAGGAGAAGAGGCTCGAGGCGCATCGATTCGTCGCGCTTAGGAACCAGGTTCCGAGGCGGGGGAGTCCCGCGAGCGCGCCGGCTGCTACTGTACTTAGGGCCCAGACGCCGGGCGGTGGCGGCGTACCGTCGCCGCTGGGGGAGCAGGCGAGCAGCAGTCCGAAGAACTAGAAGTCACTCGAGAACGAAGAGGATTCCAGTGATCCAGGCGAAGGTGCCCAGCAGATACCGGCAGACTCGATGTTTGACATGGGGGAGAACGACGTCGACATCAAGTTTGAGTCATCGCAAGAGTTCAGTCAGGGGGGTGGGGATGAAGAGAAATGATATGGTAAGGGTTCTGGACAGCTTTATTTGGTATAGGCGCCTCTTCCTGTCTCTGTAGGAGATTCACAAACCAGCACTTGTTTCCATACATGCTTAACGGCAAATCGCCGCAGCGTCAGTCCTCTTTTCAAAGGTTTGGATTATTGCGGCGGAGGCTATGCCGGGCTCTTGCAGTGTTCATTGGCATGAGAAAAGAAAAGCGATAAAGGGACAGCGGGTTAGAGTAGATGGAGTATGAAGAAAACAAAACTCATGAAGAAATAAAATAAAACAGTCTTACCAAGACCTACGGGAGTTTCCTTGGGATCCCCCTTCTCATCGATTAGTAAGGTGTAACGCTTTGCATGTAACATGTTGGAGCTGAGGCGTGGATCAACCTTTACTTGGTTCCGTTTTGGCTCGGAGTGTATTGCATAGGTGTCCCCTAGCTACGACCATCTTTGTGATCCATCACCGTTGCCGGAAAGCTGCGAGGCAGAGAGGTTGCACTTTGCCTCACCTACTCGTACAAGAACAATGAGCCATTCACAGTACACACAATGCTACGTCTTTGAAGAAATAAAAATAAAAAATAAAAAGCCTTTGATCATTCGAAAACACCTTCCCGGTCATGCTTACATATCTAGTATACAGCTGGGTATAGCAATAATCACAAACCTCACCGCTTTTTCGTCCGGACCTTGCGGCGAAACGGGCTGTGCTTTGTCTTTTCCAAGCCCTTGCTCCAATACACCCCCTCCCCCCCAAGGATCGTGCTCTTGACCCAAATGGGGCCGGGTTAGCTATGTGACTTTAACCACGGTTGAAGAGGCGGCCGACCATGCCGCTCGCGATGCTTCCCGCCAGACCGCCAGAGTACAGGGCGCTTCCGGCCATGTTGGACGCGTGGCTGAACTTGTCGCATCTCGAGAAGGCCATGGCGTTCATGATGGTCAGGACCAAGGCGATGACTGGGACACACAACAAGAGTTAGCAACGCTTTGCTCCACAATCGAGACATTGTTTTCACCCAGGAAAACTTTGGTATTATCGCGCCGAAAACCGGAGAAGAAGAAGACGTCACCCCGTCATCTTCAAGGGATGACGGGAGAAACCAGGCAGATCATGTTCTCGAGCAAAGGCAAAACTCACCAACGAGCGGCAGCCACAGGAATTGCAACCTCACGAGCGCGAAGACGGCGAGCAGGATCCAGAGGACGGGCTGGACGTAGAGCGCGAGCCAGAAGAAGCGGCTGTCGGTCGGGTTGATCGTCTTGGTGCCGGGCTCGCTGCTCTCAAAGACCCACTGCGAGTCGCCCGTCTGCACGTCCACCTCGTTCCACCACCGCAGTCCCACGAGTCGACGGCCGGCAATGTTCTTGAGGTAGTAAAAGTCGGCGGCGAGGAGGAGGATGGTGATGATGAAGATCATGATCCTAGTTAGGGAAGAGAGGTATGGTTAGCAAAACGGAGGGGAGGTAAGGAATAGCGTTTGTTGCGAAGAAGCGCCCCGCGGGAGTGTGTGTACACGCGAGTTATCTTGGCTCAGAGGGCATGTTTGATGGGTGAAGACAACAGCTCGAGAAAGGTCGAGGTGGTTTGTAGGATTGGTTTCGGTTCGAGGTTCGAGAAGGGAAGGGGGAGCTTTGCGACGACGTACATGCTTCTGATGATCCACAGACCGAGGAAGTACACGAGTACACTTGCTGTTCCCCCACAAGAGCATGTCAGTCAAGGTTCCAATCAAGAGAAATGCAGTCAAGAAATGATCCAGAAGCTTGACGGGTGACTAACATATCCGAAATGCAAGAAAGGTCAAGAGGGTGATGGGATGCGAGCTCAACCGCCAGCTCAGGGAGCCTGGCGCATCCTGCTGCTGTTGGGATTCCATCTCGGGGTGTCGACTAAGACGATCGTTCGTTTCGCTGGGGGGCCGTCACACTAGGTAGGTATCGTATCGTTGAAACTTCAATTGCTCAATTTCGGGTTTTGGTCGAAATGGGAGATAATATCGACGCAATTAGGGGCTTGGCTTAATCTTCGTCGTCGTGCGCATGTCGTGGTTTTGATGACAGTCGAGGGGACGAGAGGGATGCACTGTTCGAAAAAAGGGCCAGAAACTCATTACGGTACAGCTGTCGTAATGCGCGGGCCGCAGGGCAGGCGTGGATTCCAGCTTGGCTGTCCTCCCAAGCGCGTTCACTGGCCCAGACCCGTTGAAGCTACGGTAAGCTGTTCGGCGAGTGGAGGCTGAATTATTCCGCCAGGGGGCCGGTTGGTGCATGGGTTCCATTCTTAGCGCTCCCGATGTTCAGGGGTCCATTGGCGGTCTGTCCCGGCAGAAACGACACAGTCCTGAGCAGTGCTCGCATTACATCATCAGATGCACCCCAGCTTCGCTGCATGGTGCGGGCAGCATCCAAGTAGCCGACTTGAGCTAGCCGTTCCGAACTCGAGTTACCGAGTATTGGTCCTTAAGATAACATCGACCTGCTGGCGCCAGAGGCTCAAGAGCTGCGGCTCGTCGTGTCTAGACTTACCAATCACCTTATTCAACATCATAAACAATCATTCATTGCTTCAACCAACTTTTATCGATTCAAGAGTGATAGGCTACGGCTTACACAATCCCAAGTTGTAGCATTGCATCCGACGATCTATCCATCATGGCGGCAAGGTCTTCTTCAATTGTCCGTCGGGCGTTGCTTTATGGTGATTACAGCGACTCCAGTAATCTGAATTTCAACTGACAAGTCTAGTGCCCTCATCATCCGAAAAGATGCTGACCAAGTCGCTGGGCCTCAAGTCCGATAACGTGACATATGATCTTGAGGACTCCGTGACACCCTCATTGAAGTCAGAGGCTCGAGGACAGCTCCGGGCTTTCCTCTCCAAGCATAAGTCGCGGCCGTCTGCTATAGCCGAATTGGCTGTTCGAATCAATGCAGTGGAGACCAAGTTTGCTCTGGACGACTTGACATCTCTAGGCTCGCTCCCAAATATCGATGCTGTCGTTGTTCCCAAAGTCAACTCTGCTGCCGATTTGACTTACGTTACCGATGTTTTGCGTCATGTAGCCCCTGAACGACACACGGCGACATCACAAAATCCCATCAAAATCATCGCCTTGATCGAATCTGCACGTTCGGTTATGAACCTTTCGGAAATCTGCAAAGCGTCGCCATATCTTAGCGGTCTCGTCTTTGCGGCCGAAGACTTTGCCCTGGATTTATCGTTGACTAGAACGCCATCCCTCACCGAATTCCTCTACGCCCGCTCCGCCATTGTAACTGCTGCCAAGGCCGCCGGCTTACCTAGCGCTATCGACCTTGTCTGTACCTCTTACAAGGGAGAAGAAGGCCTCAAGCGATTGGAAGAGGAGTCTACCGGGGGAAAGTCCATGGGTTTCAACGGAAAGCAATGTATACATCCAAACCAGGTGGAGCTTGTCCAGAAACTCTTTGCTCCTGGCGAAAAGGAGGTCGAGTGGGCAGTGCGAGTTACAATCGCAGATGAGAAAGCTAGCAAAGCGGGCCGTGGAGCCTGGACGTTGGACGGCATGATGATCGACGCACCAGTGACTGGAAAGGCGAAAGCGATAATTGCCAAAGCAGAAAGATGTGATATAGACGTGGCAAGCCTCCGAACGAAATGGAAGGACCAGCAGCCCGAGTAGACCACGCCGCTAATGAAAGTAATTTGGCCGCCAGAAGGCGAGCATTTCCTCCTTTTCATCTTTGTCATACTTTTCGTCCTCCGGCTGTTTTACTTGCTGGTGTGCCCAGTGGTGACTACCATGGTCGGGTCGTTCGCCATAATATCCGATCTCAGACGGTTGCCCTTCCCACCGGTCAGATGCGTCTTCCAGGCGCCGCCGACCGGGTTCTGCCAGGTGTCGGTTGATCGAAGCATCCTGAAGTATCAGAGAATGAGCCCCTCTGAATGTGTCTGAAGGCACTTCAAGTCGATCATCATGCTGCCAAATGCGAGCCTCGTCAGGGGGGTTGTCCACGTATTCTAAGCTCCCAGGTCCCAGTACCTCTTGTTCGACACGGGTAATGAAATCGATTACGCTTTCCGACGGTTGAAACTGAGATGGGTTGAATCTGGTCATAGAACCATGGCCATTTGTTTGGGGGCGAGAGAGATGATGAGGCTTTCTTGGTTGACTGACCAGAGATGTCGCCCGTGAAAACACTCGTGGCTGCCAGAAGGTTTCCTCCCTGTGATCAATCTCGTCGCTTAGATAATCATAGATGCTGTTGTCAAGGGCTTCTTCTTCGGGGAAGGCAGAGCGGTTAGTTTCTTCTCCCCCAGACGGATACTGAGCATTTGGGGCTCCTATATGTTGCCAGCAAGGTACTGGAGGCACCGCAGGCAGTTCTGGCGCCAAAACTTGCCCATCAGACTGGTCCACAGCTGCTTCATGCTCGGGCTCGGCGTCACCCTTAGCACATACGTCACTTTCTTCAGTTACTGACACAGTAGCTATAGCAATGGTTGGTGTGATCGTCTGTGCTTCCTGGATATTATTCTCTAGTGTTGCTTTTGTTTTCGCAGAGAGGTCGATGGTTGGTGGCACCAAATACGCTTGCATAGCCGTGGATGCTCGCGTCGCAGGAGTGGCAGTCTTACGACAGGACCCTTCGTTGGAGTTCTTGTGTCTTTCTCCGCAAGACGGCTCGTTCAACGCTTCTTGTGTAGTTGCGCCCACCAAGACCTCCGCTCTCGTATCGGCTGTGCTCTTTGGCGCAAAAGAATCGCGAGCGGCTAGCAAACTCCTGGATTGCTCCAAAACGCTAGGCGGCGATTCGTCTGTAGTCATGACTCCCTTGTCCAAATACCGAATAATCATCGGCTGTTCCCGGGAAGGTTCAAAGTTCTTGGACTCTCCGTCAGGATGGACCTTTTGTCTGCGTCGACGCGAATCATGCGACGAGACACGAGCGTTTCTGTTTATTCCAGCACAATCGAATATACCAGTCTCTCGAAGCGCCTCTCTAATCGGCCCAGGGGTACTACTACGGTATCGGTCGAAAGAGTTGCCTGGTAGGGATGTTTGATGATTGCCACTGGTGGCCCAAGTGATGTAGGTCGTAGCTCTACTGCTTGACCGATCATGCCGAGCTGGCGCGACGTAGGTCTTGTCGTGTGTATGGTCGCGTTGGTCGTCTCTCAACGAATCTGACGCCGTAATGCTTCTAGTCGACAAACGATTTTCGCAGGCCGGAAGGTTCTCAGGTAATTGATAACCCAATTTCTGATCTTCGTAGCCGTCACGAGGTCGCTCTCGGCCGATGACTGGGTGTACTGTTGCAGGTATCTCCTTACGACGAAGAAAGGCTGAAGCTTCCACCAGCTCAATCTCTCGCCGTTGTCTGGCTTTGGCTTCTAAGCGTTGCTGTCGTTGCCACGAGGACTCGCGTGAAGGAGGCTGCTCGACAGAAATCATGGAGTTGTAGGCTAGCTCCGCAACTAATACAATCAGTGGCGCATTCTGAGCATCTAGGTAATCGTAGCTTACCAGGCTTTGGCGAAGATATCCGCCCATTCTGAAAGAGGCCTGGCGTCAGGCACGGCTGGAGCTGCAGATTCGTTAACAAAGATTTACTCGGAAATCTGACGCTTGCTCACTGTGAGTCTGTCGTTAAGAACGGCTTCAGGCTGGAAGTTGCTCATGACATCTCGGCCCAATGCGATTGGCTTCTTCGGGGCGTTTCCGGACTGCGTGACGGTCTCTTCAGTGGCTCTCCGTCGCTTTCCCTTGGGTTTCTTCCGAGAATCGTAACGATCTTCTCTTGTTTTGTGTCTCGTCCGCTTCTCAAATCTGGGCGGAGAACTATCTGCTGATATGGGAAACCCCGTGATTCGCGTCACGGGAGAACGATGGCTGGGGCCATGGCTGATTACCGCTGTAGACGGCCTGGCTTTCTTCGTCATCGGCTCGGGGATGATGGAACTGTCTCGTGATCCGACGCGTTTATGACCACCTCGAATAGTGCTCGGGAAGGAGATGCCGTGCGGTCTCCATCCTGGAGTCTGAGCACTATCCTTATCCTGACTTGACTGTAGTCGGTTTGCGGACTCTCCAGCATCGACGACGCCTCGACGACTGACATTGGCAAGCCACTCTTCCACAATGCCATTGCCACTTCTGGCGGCTTCGATTACGTTGCTATCCGGAGCCTTGTCCACCCTTCTCGATCTAGAACGGCCTGTCCATGGTTCTTTCAGGTGTGTGTGCCTTGATGCGACGTGTCTGTCGCCAGAGCGGCCGTACTGGCGGCGATGCAGGTCTAGTTGATGATCCTTGGCCGCACGTCTGTCCATCGTACTCTGTTTCTGCGGAGCCTTGGAGCTCACCGAGATTGACGGTTCAAGGAACTTCAGAAGAGCAAACTATGGCGGACACACGTAGTCTGGAGGAATCCAGCCTTGAAGCTTGAGCCCGACGCCAAACATATTTCTAGAAAGCGCATTCTTGGGGGAACCTGAACTGGCCCACAGCCGGCAATAGCTATCCACATAACATCTGTTACCCTGAGGATGACATCTCTTCTCCCAGTTCCGAACTCACTTGGTCCTTCCTTCGCTTCTGTTGTCAGGCGGAGAGAGAGAGGTACCTCGCTCACGTAAGGTAGGTTGAGGGAGGGCACTGTGGAGCTCGCTTCAGAGGCGGAATGGAAGAGGTCGACTGATGTTCCCACATGGGAAGGAACGGTTTACCTGACAATAGGCGCTAAGATTGCTGTGCAAACCAGACAGGGCAAACACTAACCTCTAGGCTCTAGCCCAAAGGCCAAGGTCCTTCCATCCTAATCTGATGTGCGGTAATACCTTCCATTAATTACCTGCCCTGCTTATTTGAAAGTGGGCCGGCCGGCTTCAACCTCACTCGAAATCTGAAGATTGTCGATTCTAGTCTCCAAGCTTCCAATACAATATCTTTTCGCACACAACTTAGAGACCATTGTTCCCGCCGATCCAATGGACCTGGTGCCACCTAGTATGCAAGCTTTCCAAAGGTAGGCCTGCTGACATCAAGATGCTCTTCGGAAAGACTCTGCGCTAATGGCAGTCTCGTCCATGCCCAAGTTGTTGAGCAGCTTTTCGCCACTGCGCGAACGGGTTCCTGAGCATTGCAAGCTTTCCCATCTCGGTGACTTGCTCTCACGACTGCGAGGGAAACTCACCGCCTACCTTGAAGCTGACTTGGACTACATCACTCGGGTAAACCATAAGAGGCCAACTTCGAGTGCGAAATCCGTCGTGCCTAGGGTACCGGCGTTGAGACGAGTGATCTGAAGAGAAGATGAGCGCCTGCCCACGACGCTGGCGAACCTCCTAGAAAGCTGCGACTTGTTCATACGGATACGACCAAGTAGACCGTAGCTCAAACCTCGTTCTGATTTGGCCAAGCCGTGATTCGACGCACCCATGGTGGCAGATGGAACAAGTTGGCACAACTCAATGCGCGAAATCTGGCGTGTAGGGCATCGTCGGGCACCATGATACCAACCCATTCCGCCTTGTTTTCTTGGGTCAGAAGACAACTATCATCGGCTGGCCGGCGCACTTGATATGCAGTCGACGCGATCCTCAAGTTGCGGCTGTCTCAGGATGCCAAGACATGGCCCTGTAGAGACGGAACATGTCCTGTATCGAATACCCGGCCGAGTTCTATTGATAGCACCACCTTGGCGATGGGGGAAGCCGTCCTGACAGATGCTTGACAGCTGGACATGCAGGCTCCTGTGCCCGTGGCCACGAAATACGCCAAACCGAATCTCGCACGTTTTCCACGCCTGGCCCACCAACAAGTCCATATTACATCGATGCAAATAGGGCGGCAAGAAGATGTGCCTGCATTCATCACATGACTTTGAAAAGACGCGGAGCACGAGTCTGCCAGAGTTTCCCGAAGCTATTACATTGTCTCTAAGCTCGATGTCGCCAACCCCCCGTTCTCTTTGAGAGTTTCTGGGCGACAATGCCGAATCGTCGGGGAATCGGGTATCCAAGAAATCGCATGCAGCCGGATGCAAGTAGCTTTGGAGATCAGCTCAAGAGGCATTTCGTAGGGTCGTATCGTCCGTGACGACGCACGTGGCTACAAGAGCGCCCCCCCCCCCCCGGACAGGTCATTGCGCAGCGGTATCTCAAGTTCTCTACATGTGTCGATAACGACGCTGGCCCTAACAAGCTCTTTGCTTTTGCGACCAAAAATCAGGATGTGGACCTCGAAGAAGGCGCAGCAAGTTTCATCGTCGTCCGGTCAAGACCTTTTAATTATAGACGGTCCCTGGCAGTTTCGAATGTCACTGGGATCCCCAGAGAACAACCCCGTGCTCCTTTCAACCGCCAGCCCTGCCCGCATCGAGCGAGCGTTCGACTGTACGGCATGCGTCGAATACCTACGTATATTCAACTTGCGAAAGCCAAAAACTCATCATGGGAGCAGCAACCAAGCGGTGTGAAAATCGAAACGGTGCGGGAGCATGGAGCCAACCCCAAACCTTGGTATTCCCAGCTAGATCGCGGACATGTGCATTAGGTTTCCTGCTGGTGGCATTCCGGAGGCCAAGTTGCCCATCCATCTCTCGACTTAGGTCCCCGTAATCGCTGGCCCATGCGACATATGACGGCGGCTATACTTCCATGGGTACGTAGTTTAGAGGTTCCACCACTTTAGACCCTACTGATGGGGTTCTCTAGCTGTCGACACTTCGTTGCGTCACATCATACAGTTGATATCAAAGCTCATTCAGGACGGCGCTGTTCGATTGTTCACGATGAAACTAAGCTGAAAGTCTGAGTCGCAAGGACGGCAACCAATATGACTGAGCCCGACGTCGCCAAGGCGTATTGCTACTGGTCGTTGTTGCGCTGGCGGAGCGGCTCAGGGTTGTCTAGTCTTGCGATCTCACGTCGCACAAAGCGGGCAATTGTCGGGCGAATAGGTACCAAATGTCCCGGATGTCTCGAGGTCGAACGTCGAAGAGAGTTGAGGGGTTGTTTGTGCGCCGTGCGTGACTTGGGGGAGGGGCTGTCATGGCCATACCAAGTTGACGATACGACAGAGGGAGTGACGGCCGTCGATGTCTCCACGAGATCGACCAGCTCCACTAGCATGGAGAACTTGGACCACAAGATGCATCCACATTGAGAGGTTGACTTCACACTTCACCAAATACACCCACATCGCAAAGGCTGCTCATGGGCCTCTCGCTGGTCAGTGCCTCGCGGGGAGTGGAACCTCAAGGGGACAACGGCATTGAGCGTTTTGCGCGCCAAAAAGAGGTTGCTTACCGACTTCTTGTTAACAGCAGCTGGCCCTGGAGCTCTCCCAGGACGGACTGCTTCGCGTGTCGCCTCGCATGAGTAGTTGATGCCGGCAAAGGAACTCTCGCCTTAGGAAGCTACTTGGTCACATCTTTGCGCATGAGAAAGAAGCATCTAGGCCAAGGTCACGGCGGAACGGCAAGCCGAGGTTGACGAGGATAGCGTGACAAAGAGCAAATGGCTGCATCCCTGGAGCGCATTGGACGACAAGCCAGGGACGGACTACAGACCGACACCACCCATGGACAAGTTCGACGACTGAGAAGACGATCGAAGTCATCTAGGCTTTCTCCGGGACGCCTGTGTGGAATAAAGGCCGCACTCACAGCCGCCAGCAGCAGGGTACAAACATGTCAGCAAACGGATTGTCGATTGCGCTAAGACGTAGCAAGGGCAGCGGCGACGGCACGGGTACGGCGAATGTCGCAATATGCTGGCCGGGCGAGATCAAACGGATAGGGACGCACATTCGAGCATCAGTCAGAATTGGCCGCCTCCCGGAGCCCGTCACGCCGCACATCTGGAATGCAAGCCGAGTCGAGAACCGGTTCTGCAGGCTCTGCAGCGAGGTGCAACACTAGGAGACTCCACTTTCAGGAGAAGGTGGACGCTGGAGAATGATGTTGCAGCTCCAAGATGTTCATCTTGCTTCAAACTGGGCATGGTCGAAGGAGGCTGTGCAAAGTGTGGGGTCGAATAGGAATGTCACTCTTGGTCCAGTGCGTCCGCAAGTGACCAGGCCAAGCCTGTCGTCCCGCGCAGGTGTTTCCAGCAAGACCAGCAGTCATGGCGGATACAGATGCCAATCTGTTTCTGCTGTCAGGATACCACCCTGTCGATTGTCCTCCCTCTTCCTTCTCAACCAACTTCCAGAAATCCTGGCTGACTGCCGACGGTCTCTACCTTATGCCTCTCATGGCGCCCCTCTTCGGCGTTGCCAGCTTCGGCTCGACCATCGTCTATCTAGCGGCTCCTCAAGGACTAATAGCGCCGGCGTCTGTGCGGATGCGAATTTCTCGACTGGCTGCAAGGAGGGGCAGCTAGATCATACATCATGGGCTGATTTCCCATGGCCGAACTTTTCCCCCTCGCCTACGATCCGGTAGTAAGCCTTTTTCGCCTGCTCACACCCTGCAACAGCTGGGTTCATGGGTTTTAAGAAGCTTTCCGTGGTCCTGGTCTCTGCATCTCATCCCACCATACTTGCAGGCGCTTGGTTAGTCAGGTCGACCGCAAGTGTGAGCACATTGGGCACAATGATGAGCCGTATTGAAGGACGGGCAGCAGTGGAGTTGCTCGACATCTGGGTACTTGGCACCGGAGTGTGCATCGAGCGACGAGCCGTTGGCTCCTGGTGATGGTGATATTGCTGACGGGGCATGAGTCCCGGACGAAGGCTCACAAAATGGACAAAACGCCTCAGAAGAGCAGCTGCCTGAAGGTCGAGTGCGTAAGTGCGTGCGTCTCGTCTTGCGTTGTCTGAGTTGAAGTGCCACGGAACGCGACAACGTCCACGAGGCCAGGCCGCGACAGCAGGACCCCGCGGCGCCAACGACAGTATCAGTATCGAAACCGAAGAGCTGTGATGTGGTGTTTCCTCAAAAAGACATGCACTCGAAGACGGTCTGACGGACGGCATGCAGACGAGGGGCAATATCATGTCACTTGGCTGGATTGGACTGATTCAGAATGACTTAATGCGAATGGCGGCGCCGCGTCTGGGCTGTATGTCTCGCGGCAAGAGAAAAGACGGCCATGGATGACAGAAGTATCGCGGGGATGTACATGTGAGCTTTTCGTCTGTTTGATGCTTGTTTGGGAGGGGAAGCTAACCCTGCTACCACACTTATGCTCTGGTCGAAACATTGATGGGCGTTGGCCCTTGGGCCCTTTTTCCTTCCACAACCCCCCCCTTGCGCAGAAGAGCCGAATTTGGGATGTGGGCGGTCCCCTCTTAGGGACCCCCCCTCCCCTTGACACCACACTAG